GAGAGAGAGAGAGAGAGAGAGAGAGAGAGAGAGAGAGAACAAAAAGCTAAGAGAAAGGCTTCTTTTGGGCAAGACTGGAGGTAGGAAAAAGTAGAGAGGTAAGACTGTGAGGGATTAGAAATGACTACAGGATGGGAGATGAGTGGAGATGGAAGGATGAGAAGATTGTGAGGGAATATAGGAAAAGCTGAGGGAGGATGAAACAGGCTACATAACAGGAGATAGGAGGGGTTAGAGGGAAGGATTGGAAAGAGCAGAAAGAACCATAGTACAAGAAATGGGACAAGACAGAGGAAAAGATGGGAGAGAGGCACATTGAACCACAGGACAGAAGGTGGAAGGGATAGAGGAGAATGGTGGGGGGGAGGTGGATGGAACCACAAGATGGCAAGTAGAGGAGCTGGAGGGAGCCCCAGGACAAAAGGGGTAAGTTAGAGTGGAAGTGGCCACAGAACAGGAGATGGGAGGAATGAAAGGAAGGGTGGAAGTTGATCAAGAGAATAGCTAGAAGGAAAGGATTAGAGAGAATAATAGGAAGCATAAGACAGGATATTGGGGAGGGTGAGGGGAAGAGTTGGAGGGAATGAAAAGGCTGGAGCAGGACACTGACTAGTTGGAGTTCTTCTAGAAGACAGGGTCTAAGATGGTGGCATGGTCAGAGATCATGCCATATGAAGAAAAGTTGAAGAAATTGGGAATATTTAGCCTGGAGGAGAGAAGATTTAGGCAAGATATGATATCTGACTTCAAGTATCTAAAGGGCTATTATGAGGAAGGGGAATTAGATTTGTTTCTGACTCACCCCAGAAGGCCAAACTAGGAGCAATGAGGAGATGTTGCAGAGATATTTCAGTTCAATGTAAGGGAAAACTTCCTTAATAAATAGAATCCAGAAATGGAATATAGTGCCTCAGGAAGTGGTGAATTCTGTATCATGAGAGGTCTTTAAGCAGAGACATACTTGTGGGCATGGTATAGAATTAATTCCTCTTACAGGTATTGATTGAATTTCAAACATCCTTTCACTTGTTAGATTTGATGATTCTGTGAAGTAGAGGATGAGAGAGGGTAGTTAAAGGAGTTCAAGAGAAGGTAACCAAAGGGAGACAGTTTGCTAATGGCTTCTGGTCTTCTCTCTTTCAGCCCCCTGGATACCTCCTAGTTCGCCTCCCAGGACTCACGGTCAAAAGAGGAAACATTCAGACTGGATGCCCACGGGAACCCAGGACAGCTGGGCTGTGAAAGGCATGTTTGGTCTCAAAATGCAGTTGAAGAGACAGAGGATGTCCACAGTGCGGCCTGATGATCACGAGGCCTTCAATAGGCTGCTAGGTAGAAATGGAGCGAGCTCTTTCCTCATCCCTAACCCTTCAAACCACCCTCCCTCCCAATTCTCTTTCTTAACAATGAAAGCTGTCCAATAATGGAACAGGAAACCTCAAGAGATTGGTTATTAGAAGCCCCTCACTGGAGGTGTTCAAGCAGAGGCTGATAACCTCACAGGGGCTCCAAAGGGGCTGTCTTCTTTCCACTTCTCCCCATTTGGTTCCAGTCTTGAGTCCCTTTTCCAAGAAGGGAACAGAATAGGGGGAACAGCTTCTTCTCTTGGCTCAAATGGACCACTCTCCATCTCCAGCCTAATAGAACATCCCTCTATCTCCCTCCATAGAGGATCCTGTTGTCCAGAACTTCCTGGCCTGGGACAGAAAACTTCAGGTGTCAGACAAGGTAAAACTCTCACCTATGGCTTGGCCTGGGTTATTCATGTACAACATCCCTTTTAGAACACTTTGATCCTTCCCATCTCCAAATTGCCCTCTGTCCTGCCAACAACCCTCTATCCCTATTCCAGATGGAATGAAGGTCCTGATTTCCTCACCCCCATCCAAGAAGGCATGCTGGGCCCAGTTCTGTATTCTTTCCTACCCCTGAGAATTAGAGCCTGAAGACCCCAAATTGCCACTGCCCAACATGAGCCCCCAGCTTTAGCCTCCTCCCTTCTCCATGTCTCTACCTCCAGTCCTTTATCTTATACTTCCTCTGCTCCAGGTCTTATTTTCTTTAAGATCACAGGTACATCTACAATTCAGATATAGACTTCACTTTTGTCCCACAGTCTCCTCTTTTCTCTCCCTGTTTTGGTAACCCATTCTCCACAACTTATTGTCTTGCTCTGCCCCAGACAGGATCCAAACTTCCCCTATCCAGACTCCCCACAACTCTATCTCGTCCTGAGTATATCCACTGTGTAGTTGTCCATCTCCTTCCCTTCCTGACAGTGACCCTCTCTCTCTCTCTCTCTCTGTTTATCAGTACCTCCTAGCAATGGTTATAGCCTACTTTGGCCGGGCTGGCCGTCCTTCTTGGCAATACCAGCGCCTCCATTTCTTCCTGGCTCTGTGAGTGGTTTCTCATTCCCCTTATCCGATGGCCTCCCTCTCTTTCCAGAACAACTATCCTCCATCTGCTAATGCTTTATGGGATTTGGGGCAAAGCATTTGACCCCTCTGAGCCTTAATTCATCTTATCTGTCAGTCCACAAGCATTTATTAAGTGTTTACTATGTGCCAGGCATTGTATTAAGTGCTAGCAATAAAATGAAAGACAAAACTACTAAATCTGCAGGCCTGAGTTCTGTCCTGGAATTGCCATGAACTTGCTCTGTAAACTTGGCTAAATCCTTTCCCTTTTCTGGGCCTCAGTGTCCTCCTTTGTCAGATGTGGGGAGCAGGATTGAATTAGATAATTTCTAAGGATCCTTCTAGCTCTGGCATTCAGTGAATTCTCTGCTGTCAGAACTCAGAATGACCTTCTCAGGGCAAAACTTTTCTCTCATTAGCTTTGCCAAATTGATCATACCAGTAAAGAAGGATGAGAGAAAAGGGGGCCACAACTGTATAGTTCTCATCAAAGCAGGGAATGCTAACGTTAGACTCCTGCAGGAGTATGTCCAAGATGGTGATGGGGCCTAAGTACCATAGCTTATAGAAGATTGGTTAATGACTCTGAGACTATTTATCCTAGAGAAAGAAAGACTTGGGAACATGAGCATTGCCTTCAAGGCAACTTCTAAGTTCATTTCCAGATGTAAAATACTATGATTCTATTTTAAAAGCAATCATGTAGAAAAGAGATTAAGTTTTTTTTTTCCTGCTTGGCGCTAGAGAATAGAACTAGAAGCAATGGGGAAAATTTACAGAAAAAGAGAGGAAGATTTCATCTTCATTTATAAAAAATTCCATTAACAATCAATGAATTGTTTTGGGGGGTCAGTGGTGAATTCTCTGTCACTGGATGTCTTTAAATGGAAGCTGACTGACAGCTTGCTAAAGATATTGTAAAAGATACTCAACTTTGGATTGGCCACCCTAGGGTGGCCCATTCTGAAATCTTAGGATTCTGTGGGTCTGAGTGGTTATGCAGAGGATGTAGTAGAGTTGCTCCATTGATGGAGCTCTCTGTCACTTCACAGGAAGTAGAAGGATATAGATTATAGTTTGGTAAAGATCTAAGAAGATCTCACTAATTGAAAAGTTGAGATTAAGGCTAAACCATGTGCCCCCTCTTGGCCTCCCACAGCTACCTGGCCAATGACATGGAAGAAGATCGCCAAGGGCCAAAGCATAGCATATTAGCCTTCCTTTATGGCCAAGACCACACCCAGCGTGCCAAGTTCCAGTGGCTTCGGGCCCAACTCTTCCGGGCCATTGGTTGGAAGGCATGGGTTACCCGAGAAGAGTGTGAGGAGGTAAGATATTCTGGGGAGGAGAAGTGGGGTCTGGAGTATTTTTATGGGGAATCTGTGGCTGGGCTTTAGGCTATGAGAGGGTATAGGCCTCAAGATTGCAAGGTTGTGTGCATAGTCACATCTTGTTTTGTTTTGTTTTACTCCTTTACAGATTCAGGCTTATCAGCCTGAACATTGGGTATGGAAGCGTGACCGGGCCCTCCTTCAGTAGAGATCTCTAGTAAGCACCCTGTGAGTGATGGCTGGAGACAGGAATAGCAGAGGAGGGTCTTCATCAGAGTGGAGCAGAGATGACATGAGATAAGACGGTATATTCAGCAGTGTGAAGGAGCTCTCACTCCTCCTGCTTACTGCTTAAGAGGTCCTAACCTAGCCAACCTTATAGCAAAACCATCAGATGGACCTAGTCAGCCTAGGCAGATCCGATCAGTCATATGCCGTCAGATACAACCAGACTAGAACTATAACTAAGAATTTTTGTGTCCAGGGTAGGGCAGGGTGTTATGTGTGTGCGTGTGTGTACGTATGTGCATGTGTGCATGTGTGTGTGTGCATATATGCATGTGCATGTGCGTGTGTGTGTGTGCGTGTGCGTGCGTGCGTGTGTGTATGTGTTTGTGTGTGTGTGTGTGTGTGTGTGTGTGTGTGTGTGTAACCTATCTGGGCTGCAGCTGACATAGGGAGGGAGCATGCCCTGGGACAATGTACTTGTCATCCTTTTATTTTTGGTACCCTGGGGGCAAAGCACAGGTATCCTGACCTAGTTATGGCTCAGAGAGTCTCAATCATATACAATCAAACATAGACCAGCTGGCCCAGACAGATACAGAATCATACATAATATAATAGAAAGACATAGACAGATCAGGTTACCTATGCAGACAAGTATAGAAAGATATAGTCAAGCCCAGTTATTCAGATAGTTAGATGTAGTCACTCAGTCTAAGGTAGACCTAGCCAGGTAGATCCAATTACAAACTGACAAACAGACAGTGTCACACCCAGGCAGCTAGGCAGTCAAAGACAGTGGAACAGACCAGAGAGAAAAACACAAGTAGATCTAGTGATATGGTGATATCCAGCTGGAGACATGCACTTAAAGCCCATGCGAGTTAAAGGAGAGGTGAGTTATGAGTTTTATATAAGGTTTAAAGAGACATGCTTCAATAATTCAGGAATCTGGTCTTCATCATGGTCTTCTTCATGTAGGACAGACCCCACCATGTTACAGATCACAACTTCTCTGTACCTTGGTAGGAGATTCCATCACCCAGTGGACAGGTTTCTGGTGTGAGCCTTTCCATATTTCCCCAGGCTGGTCCTGGAAAGCACACGCGGAGTCTGGGCCATTTCAGATTTGAAGCTTTTCTAGATCTCCTCAACCTAGCCAGAGCTTGCATTCCCTTGGCAGTCTTTTTGCCAACTCCCTGTTGCCTCCATGTTATGCTGAGGCATTGGAGAAGGATTGTGGTTAGGCCTAAATCTCTCTGTGACCATAAGTGTATACATCAGAGCCTACATGCTTTTTTGGAGGAGATTTGATGTAGGCGTTAAGGGATACAAAAGTTGACAGGCCTTGGGAAAATAAAGGCCAAGCTATTTTAATGAAGGAGAGGGGAAGGAGGGAGGGAGGGAGGTGGGGAATGGGAAGGGAAGGGGTAGCAAAGGGGGATCAAAAGGGAAAAGAAAGCGTCAAGAGGAAGTAGATGGAAAAAGAACAAGAAGAGAAGAGACAAAAGAAGAAAGAGGAGAAAAACAAGGAGAGAGAAGAGAAAGGACCAAAGTTTTATATTGCTTGTCAATATGATCCCATACCCCTTCCAAACTGTGGTGAGTTGCTTTATTTTATTTTTGTTGGGGATAGGGTGGTGGGAGAGCCTATACATACACCTAAGGTTACAGAAAACTTTGGTTGGTAGAGGTTTATTACCAAGTGCTAAAGATTGGGATACATTAACTAGCTAGTTTAGGGGCAGAGTTAAGGTTAAAGGTTAGGGAAAGGGATGGTTATAGTGTTAGGGATAGTGACTTCCCCTTAAAGTCAAGTTTCAGGATCCACACTGCAGTTGAAAGTTATATCTAAAGGCCTTATTCATAATTAGACTCTGGTGGTAAATTCCAAGGGATGATTCATGTTTGGGGATTGAGGTAGGGATTTAGGATTAGGGTGAATTAAGGTGTAGGCTAAGAATTAAGGTTAAGTTTTAAGATATTATGGTTAAGAGTAAAGATTTAGCTTATAGTTATAATTATGGTTTGGGCATAGGTTAGAGTTGGGGGAAAAGGGATTTTTATAGGTGGGCATAATAGATTAGAATTAAGATTCAATCTCAATTTGTAAGTTAGTGCAATGATTATAATTTGGGCTGAAGGATATGGTTAAAAAACATGACAGTGTTTTTCAATCTTTTTTCATTCCTAGTGTCTTTTCCCCACTATTCTCACTATTAGAAATGGACCTCATTCTCAGACACCTGTCTAACCAGACTAATTTGGTCCCAATTTCATCAGAAGCCAACTTGATCACCTTGATCATCTTTGATCACCTGATAAATATGGACCCTCGCCACCTTGACCCTGTGCCTCCTTTCAGCCACAAAAACCAGCCAGGTCTCCATCAGGAGTTTCCAGTCCCTCAGACTCAGGTGCTGACTCAGAGGGAAATAGGCACAAGAGTAGGGTTTGGTTGACTACCTTTTGCACACTTCAGGTAAGAGTTCTGTGAAGTACCAGGCTCATTTTATCTACATTGAGAATACTCTGCAATAGCTCCATGAAGAATCTGGTAAAGAGTTAGAGTCCCCAGCATTGAATTTATGTGTGTGTATACATATATACATGCATGTGCATGCATACATACACACAATAAAATGTGTGCACATGTATACATACACATAGATGTATATATGTGTATACACACACATATGCACACACACTCATACACTCATACACACATATGTTTATGTGCAACCCTGCTACTTTCACTTAAGGACAATGTCTCTGTCTGCAGATACTGATACAGCTGTGAAGCATTGGCAGTTATTTACAATTGAGGACTACATCTCGTACTGTTGTGACAGAGGGGGCACAGGGTTACAGTCAATCAACAGCTGCAGATGTTCCAAGCCACTGACAGTTGGACCAGCCTCTAAAGTCTGAACTTTTCTGTGACTTCCATTGGGTTTGAGATTTCCTGTGAATAAACCTGAGTAGAAGTTTGGGCAAATTACTGGTAGGAACATAATAGGAATTTTGGAAGCATAAAATACCAGCAATCTTGCTGACTGAATCTTGATTGACTAAAATAAAGAGAGGAGGAAGGAGGGAGATGTAGGAAATAGAGCTGAGAAAGTAAGGATAAGGGAGGGAAAGGAGACTAAAAAAAGGAGGAAAAAATGAGGGTTTGAAGAAAGAATGAAATAAAGAAATAAAAAGAATAAGAAAGGAGGAAGGGGAGAGGATGAAGAGGGTATAACAAAGGCATAGAGAAGAGAGGAAGAAGGGACAGGAAAAGGGAAAACAAGAGAAGAGCAAAAGATAATGTAATTATAGATTGAAATGGAAGGTACCTTAGGAACCATTTAATTTAATCCCTTCATTTTATAGATAAAATAGCTGAGGCCCAGAGAAGACAAGCGGCTTGTCCAAAGTCACACAAGTGGTAAATAGCAGATTTACAAGTTGGTCCCTTGACTCCAAAACTGGCGTCCTTTCTGGAGGAGATGGAGGAAAAGAGCAAGAGTGGAGCAACACATCATGGAGAGATGGAAAAAAAAAGAGACTGGGAAAGAAGTAAGAGTTCCAGTGGGAAAAGATTTCCTGTCCCTGCTCATCTCAGCCTTTTCCCTTTCCCAGCTTCCTTTGCTCACCATCCTCTTTCAAAACTGGAGGAAATCGGCTGACACAGCCTTAAAGCTGTTTGTGGGAAGGGGTTGCAAGAAATCTCTCCTGACCCCCTGAAAAAGCCAATCTTTTTTCTTTCCCATTCTTCCACCTTTCCTTTCTTTTCTCATTCCTTTCCTGTCTCTCATTCTCTCTCAATGTCTCTCATTCCTTTTTGCTCTGTCTTTTCCCATTTTTTAAACTGTCCCTTCCATGTCCTTCCCATTGCTTTATTTCCTGATTATCTAACACTCTTTATATCTGTTTTTTTTCCCTCCATCCTTTCATCCTTGTTCTCAGCGCTACCACGATGTTTTTCCCCTTCCATTCTTATGCCCTCTTATCCTTCACTTCTTTTTCTTATGTCTTCCTTGTCTTTCTCTTAAGTTCTCTTTTTCTGATTTTGTTTCTTTTTTCTCTTAACTTATTTTCTTTTAAACTCCATTTATTCTTTCTTTCTTTTTCTTTCCCCTCCTCTTGTTATATCTTAATTTATAGAGCCAATATTTTTCAAAGGCCCACCATCACCTTCACTTTGCCAGTATTTACATGAAATTCTACCATTTTTTGGTGCCTCATATTTCCCCAGCAAGAAAACATGTACAAATCTCATCATTGTAAAATTTAGCACTCTTAAGATGGGTCAGATAATGAAAAAAAATCGGGAAACACTGACTTAAGAGTTTAAGTATATGGTTCAAAGTGCATTCAGTATTAAGACTTTAGAGTTCAAGGACAGGATTTTCTTTACAAGACAGGGGCTAAGAGTCCTGGTTTAACATTGAGGTTGGGAATTCCTGTGATTGGTTAGGATTCAGGGTGATTAACAGAGGTGAGAAAAACATGAGTTATAGAACAGCTAGTATTCAGGTTGTGTTTCAGGTTAGGATTAGAGTTGTGATCAGAAAGTATGCCTCTTTAGGCTTATGGGTCAAGTTTCATGTCATGACTAAGTTTAGAGGGTAGAGTTTAGAATTCAAGGTTATCAGTTAAAGTAAATAATGATCAATGTCATTAATGATTGTATGGGGGGGAGGGGTGGCCCTTCTTCCTCAATTTCCCATTCTTATATCCTAATTGTCTTTCTTGGGTATCTAACCTTCATAACCTCCTTTCCCCAAGGCAAGGAATGGATTGTCAAAAGGAGGCTAATACTAGAAGTTGGGGTAGGGGAGAAGAAAGGGACTCTATAAGGAGATGCCCAAAGGAGAGTCAAAATTTATGATCCTGGCATTGGACCAAAAAGTTGGAAGGAGTTAGCTTGGAAAGATGGTAATGGAAATCATGGAGGGAGAGGCTTCTGGAGATGGTCTAGGAGTCAATCTGAAT